TCAATAGAGGTCGTCATGATGGAGGTTCGTGGAAAGGATGTTCGGGGAAGTCAGGGTTTATATCTTCTTCCAGATCGATTCAAGCTCCGTTTGATTCATGCTTATCTTTTGTTTCTTAACTTCTATCTCCTATCAAGGTTCAATCGTGAGGGCTTATCGATGCCTCATTTTCCGCTATCAGAGGGGAGGTGCCGTGATAGGTGCGATCTTCTATAACCTTTTGTTTGATCTAAGGTTCGTCATCAGAGGGTGGTAGTCATTGCCATGATGGGTCGGGTTCTCGAGGGTTCCGTGGGCTTGCAGGAGTTTCCATGGAGTTCGTCTCTTGATAGTTTAGGCTCGTTCCGGAGGATCTTCTTCTTCTATCTTTTTGTTAGATGTTCACATCAGATATCGAAGGTTCTATGCGTGGAATACGCGGGGGTCTTCTTAACCTTTCGTTTAAGATCGTGGTTCTTATACGCGGGTGTTATCGAAGAGATCAGTGGATAAGGGGTTCCGAAGCTTGCAGGAGTTTTCCGGAGTTCGTCCTTTGTCCAATAGTTTTTACGTCATCTCGGACGTTCTTCTGAGACAAGGCAGTCTTCAGTTCATAGTTTTACGTCAGTTACGGACGTGCATAGTTTTTAGGTCATTGCGGACCATCGTGCAGTTTAACCTCGTGCCGGAGGATCGCGCAGTTTAACCTCGTGCCGGAGGCTCGCGCAGTTTAACCTCGTGCCGGAGGCTAGGGGTATCGAAATCGGAAATCAGAAGTGGTCGGAGTCGGGAGTGTGGAAAATAAAAGCAAATTGAGGGATTTTACCCCCTTCCTAAGCCGTATGGTCACCGACTATATTCATCTTCTAGAAGTCGAGGCCCGAGTCAGGGCCGTCGTGGTTGAGATCGTTTCCTCCTAAATCTACCATCCGCACGAACTGCGGAGGTTCATCATCATCGTCTTCCTCGTCTTTAACCTTAAGGTCCGTGAAGTGGACAAAACTGGGTCCGTCGGAGATGATGCGATCAATTGTCATTGCTTCATCGGGATATTCAGTGGAGATCTCCCGGGACGTCGTGGTAAGGTTGAGGGAATTCGGTGCGTGGAGTTCATCGGCTGTGTCGGTATCATCAGCCGGACTTTCATAAAACCTGAGTTTCTTGGCTTCAGGTGGTACTGCGGTTTGAACCGCTCTTCCTTTTCCGAGAACGGATATCGGTTCTCCGGAAAAGACAAATCTATCTTCCATCCGTATTTGGGCTGGTTCGGGTTCCAGTCTCAGCGCCTTGGAAACAGGCGGTTCTTCTGTCATCATTGCGCGTCCCTTCCCAAGGACAGACGCAGGCTCCGCCGAGAATTCATATCGGGCGGGTACGGGATCTTTCTTCATCGGCTCAACAGCCGGTTCAATCTTCGTCTGCTGAAGAGCAGGTACAATCTTCTTCATAGGAGGCTTTTCGAGATAAGCGTGGTCGAATATCGAAGCCGGTCTAGAAGTTTTCTTCTGAGTTGTCTCCGGATCAGTGGCCGGTCTCTTCTGTTCGTTGTATCTGGCTGCAAGGTCTATTCTTGGCAGCGAATCTTTTTTCAACACGGTTTTCGTGGGCCGTGGTACGATCGTTGAGGGATTAGAATACTGCGGTTCCTCGGGGACCGGTGCGATCTTGGTGGTCGGAGCTAGGCTGATAGAAGCACTAGCGGTTCTGGGGGTTCTGGGAGTTCTTGGGGACACTGATCGTTCCCTTTTCTTCGTCTCCTTCTCTTCTTTCTGGAAGAGTGGCGTTTTGCCGTTCTTCTTCCGATCAGAATCAATCTCCTTTTCCTTCTTTCGGGAATCTGCGGTGCTCTTGAGAGTCACCGTGCCAGTCATCCAGTTGATGGCGGGGTTCTGGCTGCGAAGCCAAGGCAATCCGAGCAAGAACTTGTCTTGAGGAGCAAGTTCGGCAAGGTAAAACCTTTCGGTTATCACCCGTTCGTCGATTTGGAATGTGAGGATGCAATATTCCTCTATCGGCTTCTTTCCGAAGTCGGTTACGTCAGCGTTCGAGAGCATAAGGGGCTGCTCAAGCTGGTGCGTCGAGACTTTTAGCTGCGTGACCATGTCCTTATGAACGAAGGACTCGCACGCCCCCGAGTCTACAATCATGGTAGTCGAGACTGGGGCAGTTCTCTTTCTGGAGATCAGGGTGGCTTTCACCCGTAGTTCTTTCTTCGTCCCGGCCACCTTGATGGTGCGCAAGCGGGGTTCTTCTTCGATCATCTTTCTCCGTGGGGTTCGGGTCCATTGAGGACAGCCCGCGGCTTTGTGGCCAGTGTTGTGGCACACAAAACATTTCTTCTCTCGCAGATATATGCGAGTCTCCTTTCCGGACAGGTGTCTAGCGGCAAAGGTGTTTCTGGTGAATGTTGCCATGCTGGAAATGGTTCTATTCTTCTTCGTAGTGTTCCCTGCAGGAAGTCTTCTACTGTGACAGCGGTTCTTTAGGTTCCTCGACTGGTCAGGCCGGTGCAATCTGAGATCTGAGATCTTCTGGTTCTACAAGCTCTGGTGGGAGGCAGGTGCGTTCAGGACGTCACAGATGGTGACGTGCGTGAAGACTTTAATCTTTTGTTACGACACTAGGTCGTGTTCGTACTTGGATGGGCTAAACAGCAAAGGCCGAGAAGACGGCTTTCAGGATGCTGAGTTCTGTCGGCTTCCACAGAAGAGCAGAAGTTGCGTACGCCTTGTGGGGCGATGATAGCAGTTACAGACGGAAGGTTCGTGGTCGTAAGACAAGCTTCCGAAGGTGCGAGCCGGATGTCAAGCAAGGTAGCTTTATGCGAGACAAGAGGTTTCAAGGGAAAACCAAGTAAGATTAAAGTAAGGAACATCTACTTTAATCGTCGACCTTATATAAGGCTACTCTATCGTATCTAAGCTCAGCTTGAAGCTGGGTTCTAATCTGCTTATCTATCGAGTCAGAGATAGCGGCCATGAGGCGGGCTTCTATCAGTACATGAGGCAACACGAGGCTTGCCTTCTATCTTGATAACAGGAATAGGTCTTCTAGACCTATGTCGTCATTTCGTCGTCATAGCGGTCCAGACCGCTTATCTAATCCGGCGTCTTCCGGAGTTCTCTTCTATATCGGTCCGGTGTTCTATCCTGTGTTCTATCCAGTGTTCTATCCAGTGTTCTATACCAAAGGCAGGCGAGGCCTAGGTATCGTTCGCAGTTTAGCCTCGTGCAGGAGGTAAGGGCAGGGTGGCAAGGGGACTCATGTAACGTTGTTGTAACAGCTATAGCTCATGAACGCTTGCTCAAATCTCGTTTCGCATCTGCTAAAGACTTCGAACGACGATTCACCAACACAATCCATGATCACAATTTCCCTCCCGGCTCACTAGTTCTAGTCTCAAACAAGAAAATCGAGGCGGCATCAAATGCTAGGTGCAAGCCACGTTATTTTGGTCCAATGATTGTACTCTCGCGCTCTCAAGGCGGTTCTTATCGACTTGCAGAAATAGATGGATCTATCTCCAAACTTAAATTCGCCGCTTTCTGTCTCATTCCATATCATCCTTGCTCTCAAACATCCATTGAAGTCACACAATTCATCGACATTCAAGCCCTTTCCGGTATTGAAGACAAACAAGATTAGATGTCTCTCTCAATTTTCCTTTCCTCAATTCTACTCCTTCTACCTTACTATGCACTACATTTTTTAGTTTATTTTGTTTGAAGATCGACTGAGGACGGTCGATATTCGAAGTAGGGAGGGGATGTAAGGATGGTATATCCTCTGCGCCCTGACCAAAGCTCCAAAAGGAAATCAGAGAACCGTCATTCGCAAAACCTCCACATGACCAAACAGATGTGAAGAAGCATTACTCTTCACATCCGAGTCATGCGGATACATTTCTTCTTTTCATTTTACCTTTCCGCTTTTTCATTATGTACCTTACTTTGCACTCATATTTTCCTCGCCACCAAGTATTTTCCTTGCCACCAGTTATTTTCACTACGCCATGTACTATTTTCGTGTTCGATCCGGCCCAGACAGGTATCGCAAAACATATATATACATCTCATGTATTCTCATTGATAGCAGCAAAATATACCCTATCAGTCACCGCTCCAAGAACGTCAGAAAGTCTCTCAAAAGTTGTGTCCGCATCGCTGTAGAGACTCGCGCCTCTCAATGCCGGATATGCGGCCTTCTTACCCATTTAATTCCCTACCTGTATCAGCTCACATCCTAAGGACCAGTCATTCGCGCTCTCGCACACGCGCCCTACGTATGCGCCTCACTCGCACATCGCACACGCACGCGCGCCCTTCGCGTGCGCGCTCCTACCGTCCGTCCCTCTGTCCTTTGTCCTTGCTGATTTACTGGTGCATTATTTTTACCTCTCTCATTGAATTAACGAACCTTCGGTCCGACCTCCGCGCTTACATACAGAGAGTCTATTTAAACTTAGAATATATTTAGAAGTTGATATGGTTACTCGGTTCGGGAGCGCGCTCGGAAGCGCGCCGCATAGCGTAATCTCCCTTCTTAAATAAAGGGAGGATTCCTTCGGTTCTGGTACTTACTTTCCCCTTATCTTGATATACTGCAAAGTGTATAGTTCTCCCTCCAATACTAGAAATCCGATTATACTCCTCCACTGTTTGACACCTGTGCCCTTGCTACTCTCTTAAGGATTCCTCTCCTTCATCGTTCAAGCGCGCGCCCGCTTATGCGCGTACCCTCCGCATCTCTCGCTCACGCGCGCATCTCGCGCGTTACTTTCCCGCGTCTACCAGCGCCCGTCTAGTTGACAGAGTTTCCCTCCACCTTATTCGCGAGGAACTTCTCTCAGTAGCTGTCCTTTGGGTCGAGTTGTATTCTCGTATCCAGGTCTTGCTGTAGAGCCCCCTTTCTTTAGTGTTTTCACCCACAGTCAAGATTCCTCACCTTCATCGCATCCTTTCCTCTTGTTTCAATGTCTGCTTTTACTTGTGCACTTTACACTTCGAGCTCACACCACGGCCTTACAACATCAACAAAGTAGCGAGACATACGGCATTCTTGATGACACTCCGAATGCCTGTAAGTAGCTTTGTGACTGATTTGCCCAACTGAGCTCTGAGTTCGACATCCTCAAGCATTCCAGGAGGGATTTTGAAGACATCGGAATGAGTGGTAATGAAGTCCTGAAACAATTTAGCGGTGCTGAACAATGGACTTCGAAGCCATACCATTATATGATGCTGCGTATCAGTAACATATGCTGTGATATTTGGCGACAGCATACATGCAAATAAACAGTTATATAGCCCATTCTTCTGGTCCAAGTTAGTCTAGAATAACGCAGAATGAAAAGTACCATTGTCACCTCGAAGTCCTTCAATTCTAAGGCATCCTTCAATTCCTGCATTCTCTTCGCCCTATTTCCCTCGCAAAGTTTGATAAGAGTAATTTTCAGGTCTATGAGCATAAAGAAAATGTCGCCAGACTGCATCAAGCCAGAGTCAGCCAACACAACAACAATGGTTTGACAAAATTTTCTTACATCGATGAAACACATGACGTCTCCGGTAGGGACATCATTGTCTTCGCACATCTTCTTGGCATACGTCTTCAAGTGTTTCGTTCATTGGGGTGTAAGCTTCGTAGGATCCCCATGGTTGGAAGTTCCACTATTCCTGCATCGACGAACTGCGGTGCTGATTGGCTCATCCAACGATGACGTTGGACTAGAGGGGGGCTGGACTTCAAGGCCAGGTACCGCTGGGCCATCACCGCTTGGAGTTGTAGATCGATGGTTCGGGGAACGGGAAGTATCTGTGCAGTGTGAAGTACATTAGCAAGTCAAATTAGACCTTATATATGAGGACCTACTTCCATGCCCTCCAGCAGACAGATAGTTGGATGAGCTTCTGCTGCCAGGGTCAGGCATAGTACTCCTTCCTATGGATCTTGCCCCTGGAGTTCCTGGGTTCGACTGTGGCCTCAGCAATTGCTCTGCTCGTGAAGGTGATCTTGAGTGTTGGTTGCCGCCAGAAGGTATGCGCAGACGATAACCACGTTGGAACATTGTCACAAACACCAAAGGCCACAGTGGCTGCCCTTGTTTGAAGTTTGATATTATAAATAGAATCTGTAACACTCCGAAAGTTGACATCCAGAAAATGAAAATTTAAGTTTATTTGGATGATGTTGGAGTGTCTATGAAAATTCAGGCCTCTATCCTCTGGGCAGAAATGGGGAGTTCTGGAGTCCAGCGTCTTGTAGGAATGGGGAGTTCTGTCTAGTACCGTCTATTGGACTGTGGAGCCTGAGGGTGCCAGATGTGTGAGGTCATCACTGGCACGTGTTAAGACCATGCACAAAGGGTAGGACTGATTCCGAGGGGCTTGGCTTCAGCTCGTGCGCTGCGCCCCTTACCCGAGTATGTGCCCTTAATTTCAGAATGATGTCCGAAAAAAGTCCAAGGACGTCCGAAGCGCGGGAAAGTTCGGAAGGACTTTCCGGACGAGTGCGGGAAAGTTCCGGAGGAACTTCTGGAAATTACGATGAGGTTTCATCCTGATACGGATACGTGTAATGGCTACTTATGACAAGTCCTAAGTAGAAGCAAACAGAGGAAAGGCTGCAAGGACAAAGTCCGAAGCAGAATAGGTCCGGAGGACCGCAGGAAAGTTTCGGACGAACGTCCGGAAACTTCGGAGGATCGGATGAGCGGATAAGCAGAGCTCTGGCCTAGGGAATTTCTCCCTAGGCCTGAGATGGATATTGACTAAGTCGATAGACTAGAACTGATATGAGGACTTAGAGTGAGATCTAGTGCGAGGACTAATATGATATTCAGACTGAGGAACTACAGGACATATACAAGAGTTTATATACTAAGGAAATAACGGAAAGATCAGTAAGCAAGTGTCCGAGGCTATGTATGAAGCATAAGCAAAGTTATCAAGCGCGAGTCGGAAATGAAGCATAGGTTAACGGATCAGTAAGCATACCGGTAGTAAGTATAACCAAGATACCGAGGACAAGGAATACCGAATAGAGGAATAGGCTGTGTTAACGTTATATGCACAGGAATGAATTAGGAAGCTTATCGTATATCGGATCGGATCGGACCGGATCGGACCGGACGTCCGGATGAGACGCATGGATATATGGGATATGACATTAGGGTGATGGGACAAAGGATGACTGATGCAGGCTAGCTGAGGTATGAAGGTAAAGGGATGTGGATGTGGATGTGGATGTGCAGGGGTGCAGGGATCCGGATGGATAGAGGACCGGAGACATGGATAGGGCGTCCGAAGGTCCGGATGAGGCGTGGGAATATTGTCGGATGTAGGTTCGGAATACGGGATATGACACTCTTGCAGGATGCGTCAGGAGACTACTTTATACCCGAGTGCTTCTTTCTTGCATTGTACTCGTCGACAAATGATGGTGCGGACAAGCAGCTACATGCACTTGGCCGCGCTGTACAATGAACAGAGGTGAGTCCATTCTTCACATACTTTCACTTTTACTGATAGACTTAGGATGGGTTTATTGTCAGTGACGAGCGGGAGATGATTCCAACATCTAACTTTCGAAGGTCTTTCAGGGAAATATCTGCCAATGACAACAAACTCGCTTGTGGGCTGACGGAGTCATCACACAAGTATGCGAAACTTGTGCCGAATCCTTTGTGCGTGAAATCCCAAGGACGTATGGTGTATTTAGTCCCTCTCATAATCTTCATGGACGACATATCCAGCAATATATCCAAGCAATGGAACAAGCACCATGCAGTGTACATGTCAAACGCGAATCTACCTTGCGAGATGCTCGAGAAAGAGTTTTGCATTCGATTCGTCACGTCATCTCCTCACGCAGCCCCAATGGAGATGATGAGTGCCATGCAAGAATCAATTAGGTACATGATACTTATAATGTGCTATAGCAAAACATGACACTGGTGATCATAGGAAAGCTGCGGAATCTGGAGTCTTCACTTGGGACTGCAAGCACGAAGAAGAAGTTATGCTGGAGCTATATGGTCTGTTTCTCAGTGGCGACAATCCCATACAGGCCGAGGAATGTAGCCATGCAGGGCTGCATTGCAACTACTTCTGCAGGACGTTGTAGAAACAACAATACTGAGAGGAACAAAACAAAGATGGCTCCAAACTGATATATTTGTGTTGTGGTCTTTGCACTGCCTAGTCTGCTATACTTGCCTGACAAGTGCGTTCGACCCAGGGGTCTGCGGTCTGGGAATAGTCTTGGGGGTAAGTGAGTGATGTGGGGTCAATAGTCCGAGCGCAGGAAACAATGTCCAAAGGTATAATTACGATGTCCGACGCAAAAGCGTCGGGTCCGATGTTTTCGGGGTTTCGGGATATCGGGTTTGGGTTCGGGATGTTGGAAATTAATAGTAACACTATAGCGAGCATCGGAAGAGCGAGCGGTGTGCGCGATAATAACAATGACTGATATGGATAATGAAAGAGCGATGATATTCACAATATCAACTAAGAACTACGAAATATCGGGTTTGACCACTAAGCGTCGGGGAACTGCTCCCCTCTACTTGGATCATGAATAATGCTCGAGGTCAGTCCAATATATATGTAAGTACGTAGAAATGCGGAACCCGTAGGCGAAAGTAGCGGCGGAGTATTTCGGATCCGAAGTACATGTAAATAAACATGAGGCGCTGCGGACTATGGGAAAACATGTAATAGCGCTGGCTACGACGTGAGTAATGTGCGAAATAATGAACTACACACCTAGTGGGGCTAGCAAGACAGGACGGGACACGGATAGGACAAGTGCGCGGGAAAACATCGGGTCCGATGCGGCCTAAACGTTGGGTTGGCGGGTTAGCATCGGATAACATCGGGAAGTGATTAGCATGTGACGGGTATTTGACGTGTACTGTGAAATAGCTCGATACGAGCCCAGCGCCAGCTCGTGTCCTACAACGTGCGAAGTTGGCGGAACAAAAGAGTACAAAGAGTCAGATGAGGGCTACAAGAGTATCTTCGTGGTATGTAGCATATTCTTGCCCTGCTTGTCACCATGTTGACTGACTGTCCAAGTAGCCAGGAAAACTTCGCACTCCTGCGGGAACGGCAGAAGAGATTCACGCGCAGTTTTCTTCTGCGCTTGCTTCGGGTGCAACAGAGAAGGTTAAGAAATCTGTCGCTTCGTCAGGTGTGAAGGACACGATAACTGGTTACATTCTCGAGACGGTTGTTGAGCTGGGGAAGAAACTTCGCAAACGGGGTGCTGGCATTCAGGCAAAGCCAGAGGCAGAAGTCAAGGCTATCCTAGAGAAGCAACTCAAAGACCTCCTGCAAGGGAGCGCTCTCAATGACGCCATCAATCCATTACTGGGCGTGGAAGGTAACATTTATGTCCTCGTTTTCAGCTTTACATTGACCTTTCGTCAGGATTCAATGTTCATCAGGACACACCAACAGAAATTCTACATATGGTTCTACTGGGAGTCGTCAAGTACTTTTGGGGTCAATCTGTTTATCTTCTCGAGAAGGCAAAGCTTTTGGATGTTTTTCAAATGCGTCTCGACTCTATCGAGAAGGCTGGGCTCAATGCTCCATGTCTCAACGCTGAGTATATCTGTCATTATAAGGGTGGGCTCATAGGGAAACACTTCAAAAGTTTGGCACAGGTCATGCCCTTTCTCATTCAAGACTTACTGCCGAGAACAGTACTTGATGGCTGGACGTGTATTGGTGAGCTCGTTGTGTATGTTTGGCACACAGAGATAGATGATATAGAGATATACTTGGTATGATTGCGCTCTGACACTGCCACACCAATGCTGATTGAATCATAGACGAAGCTTTCCTGGACAATTGAGTATTTCCTCAATGTCACAGCAAAATGCGCACCAAGCATTCTCATCTCAAAGCCGAAATTCCACTTTTTGGTCCATCTTCCTGCATACATTCAATGCTTTGGACCAGCCATTCTCTTTTCCACTGAACGATACGAGTTGTTCAATCACGTGTTCCAGCTGGCATGTATACATAGCAATCGACAAGGTCCAAGCCAGGATACATGCAAAGTATTTGCGAGGCAAGATATCATCAAACATATCGTGACCGGCGGTTACTGGTTTGATAGTGTTAGGAAAAAGTGGATTCAGGCAGGTGACGCAGTTTTGAACTACCTTGACAAGCATCCAGAGCAAGCACAGCTTTTAGGAATTCATATACGAGAACCTCCTGTGACAGGTAATGTGTTCATTGAATACCGAGCATCGTGGATTGTAACGTCTATTACTCAAGGAACCGGTCAACTCAAGAAAGTAACTATCAACGATGAACGGCCTGCAGCAGCAAAACCTGTGATGTGGACAGCAACGCGCTGCGCCATGCTCGAGCTCTCACAACCTGTCTGTAATGCTCAATACCGCGAAGGCGTCTCGTTGATTCTTGGCAATGGCGAGAAAGCATCCTTAGAAGGCCATATTATTTTCAACGACTCTTCAACATCCCACACAGCCATTGGGCGCATTCGTGAGATCCTGATTTCAAACTCTAACAAAGCCGTGAACCATGTCGCCATTCAGAAATTTGCTTTTGGACCTGTTTTGCATCCTTTGCTTCACCTCCCCACTCTCGAGCTCACGGAACTGTAGCAGATAGCTCAGCGACGTACGAAGTCAACTGTGTCATATTGGTATACCTGTAGCAGATAGCTACAGTTGATGTTAGTTACATAGGTACTAGATACTAAGGACGGTACTAACCTCAGCGACGTACGAAGTCAACTGAGGGTAGTTACGAGGCGCGGGAACAAATGGTATTTGTAGGTAGGTAGAAATGAAACGGTACCAAGTGTCCATAGTAGCGAGGGTTTGATAATCCAACAGGAACATGAGGTTGTTATTAGCCCACAAGTAAGTTTGAACACAATCCTTCAATCGAGCTTATTGACATGCTCACACGGTGAATCTAGGAAATCGTTTGTATAGTAAACATCCAGCATGACTGTGTCAAATCACAGTGCACAGACACCAGTCAATGTCGCCTTCGTCAAGAGCGAACCGAGACCACACGTACGAAGTCCGTCATTCAGCACAAATCCTCACTGTTCTACTTGCTCAATGCTTACTTGATTCACAACTATGCCCAAATTCGATCTGTCATTCCTCCGTCACTTTGCGAGACATCATTGAGGGTCAATAATGCAGCAGCTCGTCAAATCCGGGAGAAGAAAGCAGCCAAGAAATCAGGCGAAACACCAGATACTGAGCTTTCGAGCGCATTGCGTGATGTCATAGCTGATGTTCCTGCAGTATTCGACCGTCCAGCAGTAAAACGAACCAAGAAAATGCAGAAAGCAAAAGAGAAGGCACCTCTGCCGCAGCCGGGTCCATGACAACCCACAATCACACAGGCAGCCGCGTCTTCGAGTTCTCATCTCCCAGCGCTCATGCCTTCTCATCTCCCATCACTACATCCGCCTGCTACTGTACCTTCACAGATGCAGCATTCCCTTGTACCCCCATACAGTGCTCCCCATCCACATAACTCTTTGCAGTCACCCCCAATGGTATTAACATGGCAATCATCTCCCGCACTCGGTCCACCTAGACCTCTCCCTTCTCATCCTTGGCCATCAAACTCACCTTCCATGGTGCTGCCAATGTATCCTGGGCAATATGGTGTCCCACCATATCAGTACTCTTCGGGGCCAGCTCTTCCAAATCCCTCATACCCCCCCCCCCCCATTCACGACAACTGCCATATGGACTTCCCTTGCAACCCTCCGTGCTGTCATATCCCGTATTCCGAACCTACATCCGACAATATTCCCACGCCTCATCCGGACCTTCGGACGCCCTATCCATGTCTCCGGTCCTCTATCCATCCGGATCCCTGCACCCCTGCACATCCACATCCACATCCACATCCCTTTACCTTCATACCTCAGCTAGCCTGCATCAGTCATCCTTTGTCCCATCACCCTAATGTCATATCCCATATATCCATGCGTCTCATCCGGACGTCCGGTCCGATCCGGTCCGATCCGATCCGATATACGATAAGCTTCCTAATTCATTCCTGTGCATATAACGTTAACACAGCCTATTCCTCTATTCGGTATTCCTTGTCCTCGGTATCTTGGTTATACTTACTACCGGTATGCTTACTGATCCGTTAACCTATGCTTCATTTCCGACTCGCGCTTGATAACTTTGCTTATGCTTCATACATAGCCTCGGACACTTGCTTACTGATCTTTCCGTTATTTCCTTAGTATATAAACTCTTGTATATGTCCTGTAGTTCCTCAGTCTGAATATCATATTAGTCCTCGCACTAGATCTCACTCTAAGTCCTCATATCAGTTCTAGTCTATCGACTTAGTCAATATCCATCTCAGGCCTAGGGAGAAATTCCCTAGGCCAGAGCTCTGCTTATCCGCTCATCCGATCCTCCGAAGTTTCCGGACGTTCGTCCGAAACTTTCCTGCGGTCCTCCGGACCTATTCTGCTTCGGACTTTGTCCTTGCAGCCTTTCCTCTGTTTGCTTCTACTTAGGACTTGTCATAAGTAGCCATTACACGTATCCGTATCAGGATGAAACCTCATCATAATTTCCGGAAGTTCCTCCGGAACTTTCCCACACTCGTCCGGAAGTTATTGGCACTCGTCCGGAAAGTCCTTCCGAACTTTCCCACGCTTCGGACGTCCTTCAGACGTCCTTGGACTTTCTTCGGACATCATTCTGAAATTAAGGGCACATACTCGGGTAAGGGGCGCAGCGCACGAGCTGAAGCCAAGCCCCTCGGAATCAGTCCTACCCTTTGTGCATGGTCTTAACAAAGAGCTCATTCACGAAGTAGATCTTTCCATCAACTTTAGCTGCAGGAGGCGAAGGGAGTTCAAACAGCATTTTTTCTCCATTGAACACCTGCAACATTCCCTTGCCGCCATCTTCAGGGTAATCCTGCATCGCAAAACGCGTGAGAGGGTTTGCATAGTCCTAAATGAGAACATTCGATGTCAGTGTTGAGAGATGAGATCATGTCGGAACTGTGTACCTTGGCAATTGCTTTTCCAACATCATTGAGATAAAATATATTGCCTGAACGTGCAGTTATCTTTTCCGTTGGATTGCCGACAAGTGTTCAAATAGATTCCTGGAGCCGATTCAATGCGTATAGCGAGGGAACATCATGGGCGCCAAGTTCCTTTGCCCAAGATAGAACCGCCTTTTTCTGCACCTCGGAGAATGGCAGCCTTGGAGAACTAAATAGTAATGTGGTAATATAGTGCTTAAATGATAGGTCAGCAGTGAAAATGCACGAAGATGTTGAAACATACAGCTTTTGATGGCCAAGGATAATTTGGATTGTCAGGCAAACCTGGACAGTTCAGATTTGTATCATGCGAGGCGGTCAATGTACAATCATCTAATGATGTAAATAAGCCTCCTGCACAGAATGAAACAGTGTCTCACCTAAAAGTTCAATCCCGAAGTCTGATTCCGTCTCATCATCAAAGCCGATCTCTTCACTCGCCGGGGCGAGCGGCATGGAAAATAATTGTTCCCCCGAAGCAAGGGCAGACTGCAACTCCTCGTACAAATCGCATGTCTCATTGACTTGGTAGAAAGGACTGCTTGAGATTGCATCCCAGAGATCAGCGACTGGTACTACTTTGTGGTCTGGTCCATGTGTATCTGGGATATGGACAGCATTGTCGACGTCCATGGTGCTAGAAGTAAAATCCGAGTCGCCGTCAGCAGGTGAAGGTAAATGTTCTGCTTCATGATGGCGCCGCTGTCTTCATTGTTGCTGCTGGGAAGGAGCCTTCGAGCCCGTTGATGTCCAGGCCCTGGCATGACACTGATGTAGGCCAGTGGCAACATGCTTCAGTGCATGCTTGGAATGCATGGTGCACAGAGCATTATCACGCTTCGGACACACGTTGCAAACAACCTGAGATGCTCCGCAAAACTGCAAGACTGCATTAAACATCAGTAAACGCTATTCACGTTGAGCACAAAACTTACTTATACCGTCAACAGACCGCAGTGTGGCAGACATGGAACCTTTTGTCGAGTGATTGGAGTGCGATAATCAATAGACTTGTGATTCTGAATTTCAGATCATGTGATTTCTTGGGTGAATTTTGGCAAAGTCCAAATGGTCAGCTTGAGAGCGCTTAAGAATCAACAGCGCTGAGGCCTGGAGACATCATGTCAATTCTTCAACCCCATCATCTTTCAAGCTCAATCTTCTATCCAGATATGCGACTCGCTGAATCAAAAGATGTCATTCTACAGCCGTTGTCACTCTTGGTATGGTTTTCAGGTGCAGTACCTCGTCACCTCGCTCATTTGAATATTGTATGTGATCTGATTTTCTTGAATAACGGCTACCTTTACTGACGGATGTTCTATAGCCTATTGAAATTTCTGTGTCTTTGAAAGACGAATACAAATCATTCACGGTACTGGTAATCGAGATAGTGTCTCAGCAGCCTCATCCCTCGAATAATGTATGTATCTGCACCAAACTTTTGCAATGAGACTGACAGTGTGTATCTGTAGTCCGCGACTTTCAGTCAATCTTACTCTGAAACTGATAACGACATGTCATTTCCTTTCCTTCCACTTCCGCCAACATTCGACCACACGGATTCTGACCACTGGGCGGAACTCTTGGACAACATCCAATCATGGCTCGTGAAATCCGTGGATCCGAGTACGCCTGATGGGCTTGGGGCTGGGAAGTGTTCTGGTATGCATTCATTGCTACCAATCCTGACTTCCCAGGCGGGAAATGGTCCTTCTGGGATTCTAGCATTTCCCTCGAGAGCCAATTTATCGAGGAGTGGGTGGGAAGTGGCGGCATTTTCAGTACGGTCATCGACGACGACAGCGAGCTAGCCACTGTCTCTACACACACTGATACCCTGGACTACATTTGGACTGAATTTTCGAGTCACATCGCACTTTTTTATCCCCATCCTTTGGTTTCTACTTCATGATTTTTCCTCCATTGAACAGTCTGGGACATTTAGCATGATATGTAGGGCACCATATTGTATCATGTCTGCATTTCTATGTCTTGTCTTCAAATCAGTCTGTATGTTCAATGACAAGCTACTTCATGATCAACTTCTCTCATGGTTTGCAATGTGAAGCGTGAAATTAGACTATACTGCCTACATGATGTCTATAGCGCCCTATACTTGTCATGTTGTCTACCCTATACCTGTCATATGTAAAATCTATATCTTGCATCCTATATGCTGTACAAGCAAGGCTGCCGTTATAGATTCTACACTTACCGCATACATGACATACACCTTTCATATATAAATCCTATATCTTGCTCTCTTTGCCGTGCATTTGTTGGTGTCGTTGTCTTGCCGATGCTTTACTCCGAGGCTCAGAAAGACACTGAATCAGCACACGAAGTTAGCTTGTTTCCATGCCAAATAAATATCCTGAACTAGATCTTTTATGGTGACTTGACTTTGGATCATCGTCAAATAAATTTATTCTTTGTCGTAAATGTACCATTTATGTACGAGGTTCTGGCTGTGTCATATACATTTAAACTATTTTTCGTCAAATATTCAACGTGCGAATTTGACGATTGGCCGTGTACTGATATCGATATCGTGGAATTGAAACTCAGCTATCGGCGGCATCTACTAGTATGCCGACATTACAACATCCTTCAATTTCTCAAATTGACCTTACCGTGGGTTACTGTACAAGCTCTAAACCGTAAGCTCCCAGGTGTGAGGATCCCTAATTGTAATCCCTACCATGTCAAGGACTAGTACTCATCGGTTTACTGCGGTTGGCGATGTCGGACGCTACGGCTAGCTGCGGACAACTTGAAATGTGCAGTGCTCTGTGCAGCATCAATATGTATTTCAAGGCAATTGGCTGGCTGGCATCCCACTATACATTCGTTAGTATTCCTCATTCTCCACCGGCTTGTGGTCTCTCGCCTTGGATCTTCTCTGGTGACTGAACGATCAAACTAAGGTCTAGGTCTTGACATGATACTATTAATTTCTCTTGCATTCCTCTTCGCACTGCCTGCGGATACGTTTGGAGCACCTACAAACGTGGCTCCAGTTTCTGGTCAGGCCATCTCCCTTCTAAGAAGGAATCAATCTCCTCGAGATGTCACCCAATGGGGCGCTTTGGCGAAGAGGCAGAGGGACAATTTGATAGCAAAGTATGGCGGCACGACAACACGGAAAAGAAGCACCGGTTATAATCTGTGCGTAGTATTGTAGCGGGAAATGCGTTTACTGAGTGCCGCTTTTCTTCAGGATTGTCGATCAGCAGTATGATTCCAGGTAGGCGCTAGATGTATCTTTCAGTGTGCATGACTCCCTGATTCACTCAACAGCTACTACGGTTCATTGGCTATTGGTACGCCTGCGGTGTCTTTTGATGTCAAATTAGATACAGGCTCTTCGTAAGTTCCGGTTCAATTGATGCTCGACATAATTTAGCAATGCATTATCCCAGTGATCTCTGGCTTGCTAGTTCTTCTTGTGGCACTTCATGCGGGTCGGTTTCTACATACAACCCATCATCTTCATCAACTTTCCAGAACCTCTCTACGCCATTCACTATACAGTACGATTCGGGTTCTGCAGATGGCTATGTTGCACAGGACACGGTACAGATGGCGGGATTCTCCGTTGCTAGTCAAGGTTTTGGTCAGAAATTCCTCTTACTGACAGGCCCGCTGGCATTTACTTATGTGCATTACAGCTGTTGTGGACGCAGTGTCACAAGCTTTACTTGCATCACCGGTCTCTGGCTTTCTTGGTCTGGCATGGCAATCCCTAGCAAGTTCAGGTCAAATGCCCTTGTGGCAGATTTTGGCCTCCAGTAATGCTTGGGACTCGGCTCTGTTTGCTGTCCAGCTCACTCGGTGACACCATTTTCTCTCTGGAATGAAGTGTATTACTAACACGGAACAGGTATAAAAATGATTCCACCGCCCAGATACTTGAGCCCGGAGGAGTCTTTAATATGGGTGCGAGACATTTCAGACCGTGAGGCATCTGCTAAAACAAAACTGCTCTTAGGTTACACAAACAGTAGCTTGTACACCGGCTCAATTGATTACATCGATATTCCCGGAACTCCCTCATACTGGTATATACCATTGATTTGTAAGCCATTTACCAACTCAAAAGATTTGCTCCTTTATTCCACTCCAGCAATGACCGTGCAAGGCAACTCCATATCTATTGATTCAGGGACAACTGCTGTTATTGACACTGGTACGACCAATATAGGCGGTCCGGCCAGCTCGGTTCAAGCAATCTATGCACAGATTCCCGGCTCACAACCAGCTACGGGTGAATGGGAAGGATATTATAGCTTCCGTAAGCAAATCTCTTGAGCATCGCGAGTTCAAGTGGCTCAACGCTCAATCAGCATGCTCGACGACTGTAAACGTAGAGCTGTCGTTCGGTGGGGCCACATGGTCGATAAGCCCAGTGGACTTTGCCTTCACACAAACCAGTTCAACAGTATGCATTGGCGCATTCTTTGAAACAACTACTGGTACTGGGTCCCCCTCTTGGGTTATCGGCGATACTTTCCTGGTATGTGGCAATGATGACCAGTCCTCGAGTTTTGCAATACTGAACTGTTCTTCCGTATTCTATTAGAAAAATGTATATTCTGTCTTCCGCTACAATCCCCCTTCGGTTGGCTTCGCCAATCTCTCAAGTACCGCAATCGCTGAAAATGGTGCTGCAGGTACCGTTCCTTCCGCAACTTTTGGTGCAATATCTGCAGCAGTTACCAACACAAGCGATGCCCCACGTGGACATACACTAAACACATCATTGTCTACTCTACTCTTCCTAGCTCTCTCGGCAGTTCTCCTCCTTTAATTTCGATGCTATCTGCATTCGCCTTCCTAACGAAGGACTCATCTGTATAGGACGACCAGACGCTTACTCATTTGGACCACGCTGACTTGTAATTAATGTAGCCATATGTGATGCAGGGTATGTAGTTCTTACTGGCCAGTTATTTATGAGCTGTAAGTGGTAACCTCGTGGACGGCAACTACACTAATCTTTACAAGTAATTCGCTCATATTTAGACATTTACCTTGAATTACAATAAGAAATATCTGTACGCTGCATTTACTGTTGTCATTTTCTCATCTTCTCTCCCAAATAGTGGCCGACATCGTATTTTCGATAGTGCGGGAGCACGTCCAATAGCAAAACATCAAACTGGCCCGGATGCGCGCATTGGTGAGTCGCATATCGTGGAGGGTAAGGGTTGCTTGAGGTCAGAGAAAGAAAGACAGATTCATTCACCACCAATGTTGTCTCGTCACTAGCGCTGGTCGACGATAGTCTCAGTAAGCATTTTCCCCGTTATGGAGGGTAGCCTCAGACACGGAGATAGGCTCAACGCACGATGTAGACTGCCATGCGCACACTACTAGTCCCACTCATTTTCGCCCATTTTATTTTTTACAAGCAATATACGAGTGACAGACAGTGAGAAACAAAATGTGTTCTAATTGAAGTCAACCATTTTATTTTATTCCTGAAGCACAGCAGTGTGCGCTGAGATTAGAATATGCTGAAGTGGCACATCGAGCAATGCAGCTCAGTCCAACGCCAACAGTCATATGATGAATTCCAAATTCCCCACCGAGAATACATATCCGTGAGTACCGGATCTTTCACTATAGATTGTCTAAGCGAAATCCATGGATTTTGGCTGGTTGTATTCTCTACATATGCCATATTTCCTACTTCGCAATTTCTGTCTATGGTGTGGTGCAAGTGTTGCGAGAGCAAGGCTGAGATCTGAGACGTCGTAAACGCGCCATGACGTACATATGCATATATGATGCACCGATGACTGGACCAGTAGCATCCCCGCGCTCGCAAATATTCCGCAATGACGAGCGCCGAACAACATACCTGGAGTCCAATATATCATTTTATTTTGTTCCCCACAGCAATATACGCTCGCTCGCTAAAAAATAAAATGGAATTGAGTAGGGCTACTGACAGTGAGCGGTGGAGTGCAGGTGAAGTAGGGAGTCAGACGAATTGGTTCCGCGGGCCGTGCTTATATATATTAGATGTTAGATTCTGCAACCAATGCCACGTCACTGCATGCACAGCTAAATTAGATTCATCAGAAGTCAATAATGCAAGGGGAGCAGGGGTGGGCGCGACCCACAGGTCCCGAAGCCCATCTACGTCGATTTTACACGTGAACTGGACGTCTTAGGGGACTGATACGCCTCCGTTTGACTTCCGCGACACCGGAATGCCATGCAACGCAGATGTAATCGGCAGTTCGCAACTTCACCTGCTTTCGGTTACATAGCGATGAAGATGATGTCGCGAAGCTCAAGACCGGGTAATTCGTTTACCCATTCTCCTGACACGAAAAACCAATAACTCGATGCAGCAACCGGATGATAATCTTGAACCGCCTGGTTCCATTTTTCACACGGCCCTGGCGAATGATCCTGTGTTGTTAGATTCTGCATACTTGCTCATGATCAGATCATCAGGCTGGCGTGAATGCTGAGTTTGAATTTGGAGATTATTTCTTGACAAGCAGCAGATGTGCGTGAGCAACAGAACGACAAACACACCTGCACTTTAGCTTGACGCTAGTTATACACTCGCACCTTTCGACGGTAAGAGTCAATTCACTGACCGTAGATCCAACTTATGACACTGATGGTCTAGATGAACTTCTTGACAACTATTTTTCTGGCATTAACAATTGTCAGTCCTCTCTGTGTGCGAGCCACATCCGACTCGGAGAATATCAAATTATGCAATTGGGCTCCGTGCGAATATTTGTGTGCGGGAGTTACCCAGTACACCGAAGGTTGCACCTCGTCAGACGGCACTCCGGCAATACAGCGCTGTTGTGAAAATTTGGTGTAGTGGTGTGGTGTAGTGGTGTGGGAGATGCATTGTAATGGAAACGAAGGGGTCTAGGGATGTCAGCGATAAAATTATCAGAACACGTCCTAGGAGCCAAGTAGATTGCCTCCTTCCGTCCAGGGTCTAAAAGAACAGGCTATTCCATGATACAGGCAATGAGCGCAAATAATATATTGTCAGAATAACAAGAGATTTGGCACTTGAGGTAGGAGAGATTCAACTGACCGGCTATCTCATGGCGCTGGAACTTACATTTCGCGATATTGTTGAGACTCGAAGGCCACCTGAAATTGAAGATACCAAGTTTCAGAGTCACGGTTGGTGCGTCAACCACCTACTCCAATAGTTTTAGCTTGCCCTCCGCTTCAGCTTTTCCCGCGGTGAGTTTGGCTCGTGTGAATTGTTTGCAAACTCACTTATGCACGAACTTGAATCATGGTTCAAAGGCTGAAGTGCGTCAAAAAAGTCTCGTTGATCTCTTGCAGGTTGACTGCAGAGTAGATTTATATTTTCTCGGTACTGGAGGTGACGACACCCTTACCTGTGTAACATTGTCTAGATATTGGCATCCGCAACTGGAAGCGATCATAATCAGGAATTGGGAAGCCTGATCTATTATTAGTGTTAATATGAAGTTACTTGTAAGTCAGTTACCGGAGCCGGGAGCGGCGAAAAATTCCTATACGTAAATGAGAAGCAGAATTCGAAGTGATTGCAATCCAATTGTAAGGCATATGTAGTCACTGAGACTATAAAGGATGATGCACTTGCAAGGTATAGTATATCATACAGAACGACGGAAACAGATACTCACTATACAAATTTGTCACAATACGAAGTGTCTTGATTGTTCGTTGATATACCCTTCAGTCATCAAATTCATCTACGCCGAACCCGCTCAAGTCCATTGCCATCACAGCCTCTGTCTCATCAAAATCCATCGCATCAGTGGGTGGCAGCTCTATAGCGTTAGCCTGTCGTGCACCCTCATCCAAGAACCCCAAGCACGTCTCTATGCACCCTCTCCATCGCAGCGGAACTGCTCCACCCACGTCTACACCAGCAATGCGACGCTCCCATGTGAATCGCTCCGCAGCGTGCCTCACAAAGAATCGGCCCTTGTGCTCCGGGTTTGCACACCCGCCCGATCCCTGCGACGGCCTCCTGCCATGCTTTTGAGGGATACCATTGGACTTGAAAATACCGGGCACGTTCTCTGTCAACACCTCGCGTACATTTTCTGGCACGTTCCAAACGCTGGAAAGAGGGACCCCATAATATTCGCTGAGCACAGTCCGAGAGTTTTCGCCTTTCAGTGAACAAAGCAACTTCCGATAACAGATCTCAGTCAGTGGAGGTACGCCCGGAAGAAACGTCGTCAAGGGAGATACTGTGATCGCTCTCGATGAATTCATCGAGATCTCCCCGTATTGTGGGGATATGCGGGTCATGGGCCGCCGCCGAGACAGAATGTCGCGAGAGGCGAAAGGGACACAAAGTTCGGCTAAAAAGGGATTTGGGTTGAGTTGCAACTTCAAGAGTTTCATATCTCGCATCTCCGATGGAATATATGACAAGCGGTTCTGCGAGATATTCAACTCCTTCAAGTTGATCAAACGACATATCTCCGGGGGAATATATGTCAACTGATTCCCGCCTATAACTTGGTAAATATAATACAAATGAGAGACACGAATAAACGCACGCAGACTCAATACAGTCAGATTTTCTAACTTGAAAAGCTCAGGAGGAAGATCGCGGATGCTGTTTCCAAAGAGATAGAGTTGCAGCATATGACGCTCCTTGCCCGAGTCTATGATGGACTTTGTCCGTTCAAATGAACGCACTCGGGACTCGAAAGCTGGCTCGGTTTTGATGCGTGACATACTCCGTCCAGAGAATAGACTTTGCTCGGATAATTCTGTCGTGTTGAAAAAACCTGCGAGATCTGCGACCGATGCTGGAATTGTCTTCAATGATAAATTACTGTAGGGCGAGATAAAACGCGTCAGAAGAGTCAGGTCGACGAAGCTGGGAAATACGGCACCTCAGGTCTATGTGCCCGTTACCTGTATCGAAGGGTTTACGCAGCGCGTCGTCCCATAATCGCTCATCGCGATCAATGTAATGCGATGTGCTCGAGTCTAGAGAAAAGAGACTTGACGTTTCGTCGTGCAAGTAATCTTTTTCTCCCAGCGAGCGAGAATAGACTGAGTTGCGAGACAATGATTTCGGAGTAAATGCGGGTGGTGTACTCGGAGGAGTATCTGCCTTCTTTTCCCGCTGTGGAGGGCGTTTGTTGGCTTTTGTTGAGGCCGCGAATGGATGAGAGAAACCTCGACGCGTTTGTGGTGGAGAGTCTAAGATATACGGCTCATGCTGAGGACTCGAGGGCGGAGATGAGTCTAAGGGTGCTAACAATGGCGACGACGACGGGGATGAATCTCGAGATGACGATGAGCTCAACTCAAAGTCCATGTCATAGTCTGTCATTTTCAGGCTCACTTAATGCGGGGAAATAGATGGTCGTGTGCAAGTTGTGTGTCACCTACTGTCAGCTTTGTTGATTGTGTCTACCTTTTATAGGCACGCGTTTCAGGGCTGCAATAAACAGACTACCAAATAGTGTACTGCTTGAGATATCCCACGCAGTAACATCCAACATTTCTTGGAGAGACGGCACGAGCCTCACGAGGCATGTTGATTCTATGCGCGACTGTTACGAAGACACACAACTTGGCTGTAGCGACAAAAGACAGTCTCACCTACTAGGCATGGTAGCAATCCAAATATTCAAGGTAACAATGACCGTAACATCCTCAGGCCTGCCAGTGCACACCCAGCGTATATTTGCAAAGGGTCCACAGCCGATCTTGATCAATGAATACCCTGCAAAAAAGGCCGCCGCGATCCAGCCGTTTCTTGAACTTCTTCGTCTCTCCATCAGGCCGCCGCTAGCGCCGATTCAGCGCTAGACTGACCGTGGCCCTGGGGTACAAGGGGAAGAACTGTAACTTCAGCATGGCTGAATGTCCTAATTCCTGTCCTCAAAATCTTCAACCTAGACTTGCAATTTGGATCGGGACAAGCAACCTCCGCATCCGTGCTCATCCAATCATTTGGATGAGTGACTCGCTGCTTAGCTGCTAGAAGCGGCAAAACAGCACCTAATTCCAGTACGTACGGTGAGCAACGGTAATAAATATCTGAAAGAAAGGGATGCTTACTGAGCGAGTAAATGGAGAATGCCTGTCCAGGAGGTAGATGAAGCATTTCTCCTTCGAGGACAAAATGGTCGCCCTCTTTCGCTCCACATAGCATTCGTTCCCCTGGCGGGCATATGACCTCGACACGCAGATCATACAGCTGGAACGTATCAACTGGCGGGGATGACCCAAGGCTACCCATTTGACGGAAGCGCTCAGATCAAAGAAGAGCTAAACGGATGCAATGTAGTGGGGCGCTCGATGCAGATCGGTTTCGTAGCAATTTAACAACAACGAATGTATGACCATGTGAAATGTCCGTATTAACATAATTAGAAACCCAGTACTTTGTAATGAATGTATAATCATGTCAGAATGTCTGTATCAGCAAAAATTACCAGAACAAAAGAGCTATCGATGTAGAAGCCAGCCAGAAACAGAGCAATATACTGAAAGGACCACTTGACACGGCACCTAACGTAGCACTTGATGCAACACCAGTGTTTGTGGCAGTCGTCACAGCGCCGATTGTCGGGGATGGTACAGCAGCTTTGACACCATTCTGAGCGATAGCAGTCTCTGATAGCGCAGCAAAACCAACAGAGGCAGGACTGTACTTGAAAACAGAGTAAACATTTTTCTGTGCATCAATCAGACACTGTCCAGAGAACATAGATTAGTGATGGAAACTCACAAGGAATGCGTCGCCGATAACCCAAGAAGGACCCCCTTGGCCGATCGAGGAGATGAAAAAAGCCCCAATGCACTCCGTGGTGCTGACCTGGGAGTGCGTGAAGTCCACAGAGCTCATAGACCAAGTGTTACCACCAAAGTTGAACTGTACATTCACCGTCGTGCTGCAGGCTGGCGTTGTCCTGTCAGCCAACAAACTGAATGACAGCATTGACACTTACGATAAGTATAATATCCCTGTAATTGGCCCGTTCCTGCTTGTGATCCAGGGATTTGTGCGTAGATACTCGCAATGGCACTGGCGGGACCTGCAATGTTTGTGGTTCCGGTGTCGATGATAGCAGTCGAGATCCCTGCGATATCAATGGACTTTCCCTGTACAGTCAACGCTACGTTATCAAACACGTCAGCTAGCTGTAATATATATATATATATATTGAATTCTATTTACTGGTCATGTTAATCTCCCAGTATTGCGGTGTTCCAATAAGATTGTGATATTCAATTGATCCCGTGTAGAGACTGCTGTTGGTATAACCTGCCAAAGGGCCACGTTAAACTTGAGAGCATCAACGTGGCAGAAATATACCTACCCATGTCAATAACACCTCCTGGCTCGTTTTGAGCTGCACCAGACACATTGCCATAGCTTACCAGCCACGAGTCAGGAAAACATAGCAAAATCAGTCCGTCCTACATACCGTGTGAGCTGCACTCCGAATAATGCAGAATCCCAACTTCCATCGCTAGCCAGAGTTTGCCAGAAGGGCGTCTGTTGCGTAGAAGAAAGTGAACTCCAAGCAAGACCCATTATCCCCGATACAGGGTTCGTGTTAAAGTTCGACGAAAGAGCATCGACAACACCTAACAAGTTCTGTCATGTGTATGTCAAGCATTCGGTGTACATGATAACGTACCAAAGCCTTGTTTTGCTACAGAGAAACCAGCCATCTGGACAGTCTCCTCAGCAACATAACCAGCCACTGCGCCCGAGCCATATTGAATCTCAAACGGTGTCGAAAGGTTTTGGAAAGTAGACGATTTCGTGGGATCATATGTAGGGCTGGTTCCGCAGCTTACTCCGCAAGTAGAACTAGTCAGCCAGAGATCGCTGGAGATCTTTGTTCTAAGCAAATCGCGCTGAGAAATTTACCATTGCACTCACGATGAACCAGTGTCAAGAATCACATCATAAGACACTGGCGGCGTCCCGATTGCTATGGTCCCGTAGTAGCTATTGAGAATGCCTGATTAGTGAAAGTATCTTGGACAATGGAGCTCTCTACGTACCCTGTATCAGTCCCCTGATTGACGATGCTGTATGTGCGGCGTTGAGAATGAAACATTCGGGACATGAAAGACTTTGCATACAGGTTATACCCAGTGCCCCTCTGCTGAAGCGACTGACCGCCGTACTTCACAGCAAGTATATCTCTTTGATTTTTTGCTCGCTGAGCCACCAGCGTGAAATTCTGAGATAAATGGTTGAGCCTGCGGATAGGTATGCTCCGCCCTACGACAGCTGTTGATGTTGTTGGTGCGCCTGATGCATCTTGGGACAGCAGAAGGAATAAAAAGGTCGTGAGGCCAGCTGAAGCAAACATAACAATCTAGAAAGCGAATTTACAAATCAATGAAAACGGCAGACTGCCTGCAGTCTAAGGGAGAAAAGAAGTATTAATGACCCGAGCCCGCGAGTTGATAGCGGAAGAAAAAAGGATGAGAAACGATGGACCTGCGCAGCTCCCTTTTGAGCGTTATAACAAGTTTCATCAGTTCCAATCAGTGCTTGTGACCCGCATGAGCGTTTCGAAGGACACGGGTTCTGTTGCTCAGAGAACAGCCACGAGCAGAATAGTCGTCGTGAAGAGCCCAATTGTCGTGAACGTTTAGTTGTGAATCCTGGCTATATCTACCAGTCAAATGGCACTCGGATTCAGCATACAAGACCAAAGAGGCTGGCTCTGATTGAGCCCCTCATCGCATCATGGTGAGTGAGGAATTTCAACATGCTGTCCGACAATGCGATGATTGATGATAGCAAAGGTGACATGGTGTGTATACGTAAGAAATGGAATATCAATTATTAGTCATGCACGTCTTATGATTTGCTCCGAAGAGGCTCACAACAAAGTAATCAGAGCCTGATGCAATCATAAAGTATCACAGTAAGTGTAAGTAGAACTGTTAAATCTAGTTGGCAAGAAGCGCTTCCCTCCACTTACTCGGTTGCGAGCCCCTCTTAGTGTCAGAGAATATAGGAATTCCCCGGGCCCGCTTGTCAGCCAATTCCTCCTTCACGTCCTCAACTTCTCGCAGCATTCTTGAACGACTCCTGGCAACTGCCTTGAGAATCTTATCCCTCCGCAGATGACCAGTGAAGCGCCAGTTCTTGCTCCCCGACAAGGACGTCCGCACCAGCTCATGTCTCCTCCATCTTTTCAATGCATCCAGTGCAAACTTCTCGTTCAACCATTCCATCCGTTTCTTTCTGTCCTCTGCAGTCATGTCTTCCATTGCTTGAGGATAGTAGAATGGGTCTACAAGACCGACGACGGCACGTTTGTATGTTCGGTATGATCGCGTTGTCTTTGCCCCATTATACCTGCGATACAATGGCGAGAAGTAGTTGGCAGTCCGGATGTAGGTAGTTTTAACGCCATACACGGCAGATAGATATGAGCGTACGTCGGTTTTCGTGACAGACATTGGAACTCGAAAAGTGGCTTCGTAGGGGTTATAGGGCTTGCCAGTAGGCGTGTGGTTGCGCACCATGCGAAACATGATGTTCGGGAGATAAATTCTCTGACCGACCACCTGCAATTCTTTCTCTCCGTGATTGTCTGTGACTTTCAGACCGCGAAGACGCGTCCGCCGTTCATTGAGGGCGTCAAGCCATTCAGCTTCTGTCATGTCTCTCCCCCGCTGATCCATCAGCTCGCCTTTGGCAAGGGCTCTTCTGTAGCCCGAATATTCTGACGGGGTGAGGTCGCTGTCGGTAGGAGGTTTAAGGTGGGCCCTTTTGCGTTCGCGGCGTTCACGAACGGCCATTGGGGCTGAGGCATCTCTAGCAGCGGCTGCAAGCTTTGGCAAGGCGCTGGCAGCCCGTTCTGGCGGTTGCGTCGAGTAGAGACGACGGGCTACGCGACACAGAGCTTGCATTCGCGAAAAATATTGGAATGAATGGAAAAGAAACCTTCTGAGGAAACCCCCGTAATGAAGAATTTGTGACCTGACCCCGATTATTTTCTCGATTTGGATATGTGACCCCCTTCATTGAACACGCAGCCCTCACGGTACGACTCAGCTCCTGGTCATCACTTTCCTATAGCTATAGGTAATCTGTTCGCTCATTCTCTTAAATCCACTGACCGTGGTCGCTCACTTATCCAGAACTCGACGGGCCATAATGGCTGCGTTTTCATTTTCTCGCGTTGGTCGATCTATGAGGGGCATATTGCTCCCCACAGCAGCTGTCATTGGCTTCTCATGCCTCCTGACATACTTCTTTGTATTATACCAGCCCACCGTCGGACCTGGGATTGCCCAGCGTCTGGGCTGGCAAGCTTGGGATGCAGTCGCCACAGCTGACTACTTTGACAAGGAACCTTCTACGCCAACAGTCACTGGCGACCCAGCGGATGGCCAACCAATTCCAGTCGATGATGACGCGACAGATTGGTGGGAAACCACAAACAATCAGCCCTGGGATACTACCGATGATATAGAGAGTTACCCCCTTGACGTATGGGCTCCTTTGTTGCCCCACGATACTGGTCGTATGTATGCTTGCCAATTTTGTCAGGGATTTGATTCAATTTCATATTTGAAGTGTCTGAAATTGCTATCACGCGTTGTATGATGTCACCGAGCCTTGTCGGGAAACTCTGTGCACCCACGACAACTGTCGAGCAGGATGCCATCAAGGGTAACTGGGTTCGAGTGGACCGGGATCTCAACAAACAAGCTGGTCTCTGGAATTTGGTACGCACGCACCACTATTTTATGTTACGTATTCCATGACTCACCAAATTCACTTTAGAACATCTACTACAGACGGACGCGCCGTCTTGACATACCTCTCATTACCGACTTGCGCCTCCTTCCTGCCAATGAAATTCCCGAACCTCTATCAGATTCCTGGGTAAAAGTAGATCTCTCCATACGCGATGGCGTTATGCGTGCGGAACCAATGTACCTCTGGTACCTCCAGGGAAAAACGATGAATGAAATGAATGCGGAAGAGAAAAGCAGTCTCATTACCGAAGTCGACATACTCTTTGGGGAGGATAGGCCTTGGTACGGATTTGAGAAAATAGAGCCTGCCGTAACTCCGGAAAAGGAAGGGCAACTGGAGAGCGTGTATGTGACATACCGCCGCGGCGTGCAGTGTGAGCATGAACAGCCTTTATGCCGATAGTGGACTGAATTTGGTCTGCAGCGGTCCCTCACGCTCATCCTTTACACTTCTCGCGGGACGGCAAATTCAAGATTTTGCAAGTTGCAGACCTGCATTTTTCTGTTTCTAGGGGCATCTGTCGGGAAACCGATATCGATCCCTGCGTCAACTCCGATAATCTCACCAATACGCTCCTCGGACATGTTATGGATGAAGAAAAGCCAGATCTTGTCGTCTTCTCCGGCGACCAACTCAACGGGCAGGGCACGTCTTGGGATCCTAAATCCGTTTTAGCAAAGTTTGCAGTCGCAGCTACAGATCGAAAGATACCTTGGGCAGCTATCTTCGGCAATCATGACGAAGAGAACGGCGATGTGAAGCAGGAGCAAGTGCGTATGATGAATGCCCTTCCGTATTCCTTGGTGCAGAGGGGTCCAAAAGACATTCATGGTGTTGGAAATTACGTTCTAGACGTGAAGAGTGCTGATGCGTGAGTGTTCCCGTTTGAGGGTAGCAGAGTACAAGCTGAGCCACTTTGGTAGCTCCAAGACATCGCTGCTGACGCTCTACTTCCTGGACTCTGGATCCTACTCGAGCGGTTACTTGGACTGGCTCGGGTACTTCTTCCCAACGGAGTACGACTGGATACATGAGGTCGGTGTCCCTTGATATAATTATGATCGTTATGTCAATTGCGCTCATATTTCCAAGGACCAAATAAACTGGTTTTTGCAAGAATCTTCCAAGATCCAGGCTATACAACGTCCGTTTACACCAGACACTGGCAAGGACTTTGGTTCCATATGGAACAGACAGGCCGATCAGATCACGCCCACGACGCACAAATTAGCCAAGCCCAATGCTATCATGTTCTTCCACATTCCTCTGTTGGTTCATTCTCACGCCGTTTCTGTCACATTTAAGTTTATTTTTTTCCAGGCAAGAGTCGTACGGTACAGCGGACAGGGACCCACGTACTGGCCAACTGTTAGACATCGGTCTGCACGATCTGGAAGGATCCGGTGCTGCGAAGAAGAGTGATGGGATGTTTGACAAGGGTTTGAAGAAAGCACTGGAGAGTGGGCACGTTGCAAGTGGAGACATACCCGAAGTGAAGGTGGTCGCAAATGGACACTGCCACAGTAAGTTCCAGCATAGAGCCACCGGAATCCCGGATCTGATGTAGTGATACAGTCACGGAGGACTGCAAACGTGTCAACGATATATGGCTATGTTTTGGAGGTGGAGGGTAAGTGGTGCAACGTGTCTTTATCTGTCGCTGTCTTCATTTTATGACGCAGGTCGTACTCTGGGTATGGACAGATTGGGTGGGTTGAATCATAATTTATATATCGCATCTTCATTCGGCTTACTCTGCCCTCAGGTTTGACCGCCGTTTCCGGATATACGAAATCTCAGATTATGGAGAAACCATCCGAACATACAAGCGCACAGAGAAAGACGAGATCCTCAACAGCTACACCTTAGCTGGACCAGGGGCACCATTATTCAACCCACGATCGTAGAATTGTAGGGCAAGGGGTATGTACGATGTAATTTATAATTAGTGGCCTGGCCATGTTCTCGTGTTCGCCACGGGTCTGTACATCATTTAGTATGATCTTGTTTACCTTTAATCCCAAAAACTCGTACAATGACCAGGCGTAAGAATCGGCGACTTTTAAGATAGTTCGTGTGTTCTATGTAACACCACGCTACGCAACAAAATTTCCTGTATCCGTTCCAAGGGTCGGGGCATGTTCCAGCCGTGCATTTGATCAATTATTGATGCGACTGAGCGGCTTAATTTGGAAGTATGTTCTCATGGCAGAAAAGGGAAGCGAAAGACCGCCGATCTGGATACTCCTGGCCTTCAGGCTTCAGTTACTTGACATAAAGCGCCAATACTCCTCTACTTGCGCACTGACCTCCTTTGTGTTCCTAAATGTCCTCAACGAGGTCAACGCCGCCATCTCAACCCTACACGGGGCATACCTCACGGCGTGACCACCAGTCAATAGCCTCTAATCATTCCTCAAGTTCATCCTCTTCACGTAGCAGTCGTTCACACGCACATGTGAGTACACTTATCTACAATGTAATAACTGTCTTATCCAGGTCGTAGCCCGCAGTCGAGTCTGCCGTCACACGTCTTCTCGTGGCCATCAAACAACTTTTAGAGTCTCTCACCCAATGGAGCACCGGCAAAATGGACGAGATCCAGGTGAGCGACGTCTACGTCCGCCTCGGGAATGACTTCAACGCGGCTGTGGCTGCGTTTGCCGCATTTAATATCGATATGTCGTGCGTGCCTTTGCCTGCAGGTATACATGAGCCTCAACTGCTAAGTAAAACCCAACAGAGACCTAATGTCCGTGCCCGAAGACCTACGAGAGGTCCTCGAAACCTGCCTAGCAGAGGAGGCCACGCAAGACAACCTCAACGTGTATCTACCCACCGTGCGCAAGATTATCACCAACCTCCTTCAGGGTCTCCGCGGCAAGCAGTCTATGTACCGTCGGATCGTGTCGGAGCACCAGAGCCGACATCGCTCGTCTCACTCGCGGACGGACAGTCGCTCGTCAAAGTCTGACAAAACTTCGCGGCGTGATGACGATTCGAGACATCGGTCACAGCTTTCACGCAGCGTTATGGAAGAAGAAGGAGATCAGGACAGGGATAGGGACAGCATATCAAGACAATCAGCAAGATCGTCAGCAAGACGACAAGACCCAAGGACGCAGACACCTCCGCCAGAATCTCCGCCACCCATCTTCCGCGAACCTGACGATGAAACGCCCCCTAATGAAAGAACGATCACGAACATTGTCAATGGGCATACCAATCGAAGCTCAGCGCAGCCTCGAGCACGACAATCACAGAACACATACAGGCCCGATGGTGATGCGCTTTCGCGCGACTCATCAGAAAGCTTGGTCTCACCTTCCGTAACAGCAAATCCACATCATGCCTCGTCCAGCGAGTCAGACAAGCATTTACCTCAAACACCTCCTCAGAGTGTCCCCGTGCCTGCCTCCGTCAAGCGCTATTCGCTCGTCGACAGACCAGTTTCCTTGTCACCTCCACCACTTCCAGCAGTGCTGGTGGATGAAGCTCCTTCCACTCCTATCGAGACCTCCTCACCACAAACTCATCCTATCGATACTCTGCAAGCACCTGCAGTTGCCAGCTCCCTTGCCGCGTTGAAGAAGAGCGATGTACTCGAGCGGCGTGCGTCGAAGCGCTTTTCGACGTACAATATCACGAAAATGACAGGCTCGCGGGAGCGGTCAGGTAACCGGCGGTCGATGGCAGCAGGGCCATTGCTGACGCCAGGGGACTTGGCGGTTCTAACAGAAGTCGATGAACCGGACATCCAGCGTAATGGCAGCACGCGGTCTAGCCGAACAATTGCGCGAACACCCTCGCCCATGGCTGAGGTAGAGGCAGCCCCTCCCGTTCCTCCACTGCCTCCACTAACAGAACCCGCGCGTTCCCAACAAGCTTATATGCCGTCTAAGGCGGACAACGTGATAGACGAGCCTACGATCTTTGAAGAAACACCTGAACGTACTTTGTCGATCACGTTCTCGGTTTTCTTACAAGTTGGGCGAGAAGTCAAGAAGGTCACCATCGAACCTGGTTTGTCCTTTTCGTCATTGCGGATGCTATTCGTGGACAAGTTCTCGTATAATCCGGGTCTGGAGAATTTCCCTGCGATATACATACGCGACCCCTCTAGCGGTGTACAGTATGAGCTGGAGGACATCGAGGAAGTGAAGGAGAAATGTCTACTATCTCTCAACATCGAACGTCAGTAAGGTCCCACTCCCTATGTTCTCATCCTGACCTATTGTATTTTTCCAGCACTCGATCAAATCAAGCAACACATCGACACTCAGATATCGGTGCTGTCGAATGATCTCAAAGAACTTCGCACCACGATTTCAAATGAACGTCGGTCGTCCCACATCAGTCCTATCATCGCCCATGACTTTGTCGAAAGCACACCAAGGGTAGATCGACCATCCGAAAAGCAACTGCATAATGTCGCACGTAGGCTATCACGCATCGTGGGTGACGTGAGCTCGAGCAGTCCATTCATGCTACCTCAGATGACTGGACAGTCTCTTCAACTACAGCCTCAAATGACGGGGGCTTCGGTGATGTCGGAGTACTCAAACCGAGTGGTGGATGATTTGAAGACACAATTCGACGAGGTACAGAACTTGCGACGTGATCTAGGAATCATGAGGCAGCTGTACACGGAGTTCATGAAGTCGACGAAGGATTCATTGGGCGCTTTGCGGACGCAAACGCAGTCCGTGAAGCAGTTAGCTTCTGTCAAAGTTGGCGGCGCACGGGGCTTCATAGACCAGGGGAAGACGAAGTTGGACTCACGGAGTCAGAACGTGCTGACGAAGGTGGAGGAGTTGCAAGACACGGTGGAAGCACTCCGAGATGACGTCCTCAAGCGCCACATGACACCTAAGCCTCAACTAGTGAAGCAGATTCAAGAGGACATCGCTTCCACTGCTACGGAGCTGGCAAGTCTCAAAGAGCACATCGACACCGTCAGGCCTATGTGGAAGAAGACATGGGAAGAGGAGCTGCAGAACATTGTAGAAGAGCAGGGCTTCCTCGGTCATCAAGAAGAATTCTTGACCGATCTGCTCGAAGACCACAAAGCTTTGGTGGACGTCTTTGGGCATGTTGAGAAGGTCATTTCTATCCGCGGCGCCACCCCTGGACGTAATAATAGAAGCCGCGGATTCAAGCCTCCTCCAGCAGATGAGGGGCATACTGGCCTGAGTACTGTCATGATGGAGATTCGGGGTGCCGCGGTGGACCCGGATCGACGGATGAAAGCAATTGAGGCTAACCAGAAAAACCGGGAACGAGAACTCGCGAGCCGGTCTGATGAATTTCAGGAGGAGCTGACAGGATTTGTGGGTGGCAAGAAACTGCGAATGACAGGTGGAGCGGAAGAGGTGGATAGAGTGCGGCAGAGAAGGAACGAACTGGCGCTAAAAGCGATGTTCAACAGCGCATCCGCATCTGTCGACAACTTATCTGGTTCCCCAAGTGCTGGTTGATACTACTAGATGAGAACTTGGACGCGGATATTTGGTAGTTACTGCCCTTGTTGGACCTGTATTCTATGCTTACTGGGACTTGGTTTTCCGTGTTGCACTTTTGATTACATTAATCATTTGGAGAAGTCACTGACATTGCATTTTGTTCTTGCCATACTAATACTTATGTTGATTTGGTACTACACACTATCTCTTCCGCTATTGACACAACGCATACCGATGAAACCTGTTATACACATAAATCACATCCAAGGTGCCAGGCTATATCTCCTCTGCAAAATCTAACGATACACATCACTCCAGATTTATCCAAAGCCCATCCGAGTCAGGGCGCCCAGGATGGGTGACCTCATTCATTACTCTCCAATGACCTTCTTATTGCTGAGAGATGATTATTCCAAGGAGAAGGAATATCAGCACTATATGTAGATGAAGCTATTAGCTATTCGAATGCTATGACGAGCCAATAATACTCACAAATGTACCGACTTCTGGCGCCTCCGACTCCGAGTCGCCGGCTTGATCTCCCCTGGTATCTTAATGTGCCGGGGGGTCCAAAAGAAATACGACAGTTTAAATGCCATGATGGTGGCTCTACCAGGAGCGTTGTTGGACAGTAAGTCACAGTCGTAGAATGGAATGGGCCTCGAGGACAGCCGGGCCTGAGCCACGGTTGTGAAGGGAAAAGGGAGATTACTGTGGTGCGTAAAGAAGTTGAACTTGACCGCTCGTTACCTTGTTTATACTATCCGGCTATTGGAACGGTATGCCCGAGAGGGGCTATGCGACGTTTAATCATTGCTCCAAAGAACTCTCCGGGCACAGCCCACGAGATGCACAAAAGGGGATAATCTACAAATGGAAAGCGCCAACGGGTTGCATGAGTCTACCATTCCTTGATCTTGGCGACCTTTGAGCAATAAGAAAATGATACCCCGAGTACTGCGATCATGAGGATATCACCGACCGGGAGCACTCAAGTACTGCTAGTACTGTAAACCAGCTGAAGCAGCACTTTTGATCGGGCATCATTTCATTACATAACTCAGTTCACAAGAACCCACAATTAACCGTCCATGTGTGTAGCACCTACTAAGGCGGAGGGTATATCAACCAATTAATGATTTGCAGACAGACAAAAGTACTAGGCAAGTACCTACAACAGTTACGAGGTGCCTGCAGTGAATAATGTCGAGCTGATTCGAATTGGAAATTGTGTTATCAAATCAGATTCGCCTAAGCATCGGCTCATGTCGATGCCAGCATTGACCAGTATTGTCATGATCAACGCTTCGCTTCAAGTTGCAGCAAAACTCGAAGTTAGCGTTCAACATTTTACAGTCATAATTTCTTGTCAGTTCCGCGCCTTCTCGGCGAAGGAGGCTGCAAACAACTGCAAACTTGGCCGCACTGCGCCGCGACGGGAGGTTCCCCATCATCAATTGTTCCGCAGGCTCCTATGAACTGCCCCACTTTCTAGTTCCCACGCAGTCATGCATCGAGCTTGGCTCATTCACGCCGCCGTCGGAACCGTAGTGACCCTAGATAAACTCATGGATTCCTCAAAGCTGTCCGCTCAAACTGCGCTAGAACATGACTGCAGAACCAGCCCCACTTGCGCCACATACATCGGAGGGCCTTCCAGCCACTCCCGGCGATGAGAACAAACCTGCCATTTCAAAGGAGCTCACAACCCCAGAACATGTCGCTCTGGAAATAAAAGATAATTCCAAAAGCATCCGAGCGTTTATCCCCTGGTCAAAGAAAGCATCTAAGAGGATGGAGAGCGATGCCGAGAACGCAAAGGCAGCGGATATACTCGTTCCTACGTCATTCTTATCGCTATTCCGGTCAGATCATCCCACTTTTCTGAGTCTAACTGAGTGTGATAGTTCACCGAAACAGGTATTCAACTCGCTTTGAGATAATATTGAACATTTTTGGTGTATTCTGTGCTGTTGTTGCTGGCGCTTCCCAGGTGAGTTTTCAGATTTGCGAGCTACATCTCCTTATCTTCTATCCTAGCCTCTGATGACTTTGATATTCGGCAACCTGACTCAAGATTTCGTTACATTTGGTTTAGCAGAGAACGAGTACTATCAATCGCTACAGTCTCAAGATGAGAACGTGATTGAACAGGCGCAGGCGACATTGGATGCTGCTGCATCCTCGTTCCGTCACAGCGCTAATCTGGATGCTTCTTATCTCGTTTATATTGGTGAGTTTTTGATTTGATAAGAGTGAGACTTAGGCCACCTGAACTCGTACCAGGTATCGCAATGTTTATTTCCACGTACCTGTACATGTACACCTGGGTTTATACTTCAGAGGTTAATGGGAAAAGAATACGAGAGAGGTATCTTCAGGCCATCCTTAGGCAGGAAATCGCCTATTTTGATGATATTGGGGCTGGAGAAGTTGCGACACGCATTCAAACCGACACTCGTAAGTCGTACTGGACTTTTCAAAGGTGGATTGTCGAAATCACGTTGCTCTGAAATAGATTTGGTACAACTGGGGATATCTGAAAAAGTCACCCTTGCAGTCACTTTCGTCAGCGCATTCTTCGTTGGCTTTATCCTTGCATTTTCCCGGTCATGGCGTCTAGCTCTTGCATTGTCATCCATCCTTCCGTGCATCGCAATCATAGGTGGTATCATGAATAAGTTTGTGTCCAAATACACGCAGTAAGTGTTATTGTCGGTGAGCTCATCCCGTAGCTCTGATCTTCGTTCAATACCAGATTGTCTTTGAAGCATGTTGCCGAGGCAGGTAGTCTTGCAGAAGAGGTCATATCTACGGTTCGCACCGCGCAGGCTTTCGGGACCCAGAAAGTTTTGTCTGGAATATATGATACTAACGTCGATGCATCTCGCGTTGTTGACACCAAAGCCAGTATTTGGCAAGGTGCAGGTTTAGGCTCCCTCTTCTTCGTGATCTACGCTGCATATTCGCTGGCGTTCGATTTTGGAACTACCCTCATAAATGAGGGCCAGGGTCTGTTCATGTTTCTGTACCGTGAAACTACATTTAACATCGGTTGGCAGCTAATGCTGGACAGGTTGTCAATGTCTTCATGGCCATCTTAATCGGATCATTCTCTCTCGCCCTACTCGCCCCTGAATTGCAAGGTAATCTTGATCCCACGTTTGATTCGGAGTTCTCATTCAATCTTTTGCTCAAGCCATTACGCGTGCTTGTGGTGCTGCTGCCAAACTCTTCGCTACGATCGAGCGTGTTCCTGTTATCGACTCTGCAAGCCTAGGAGGACTAAAGCCTGAAAATATCACTGGCGAGATTACTTTTGAGGACGTCACATTCAACTATCCATCTCGGCCAGATGTCCCAATTCTCAAAGGCATCAACATCACCTTTCCGGCTGGCAAGACCACTGCTCTCGTTGGTGCATCCGGATCTGGTAAATCTACGATTGTATCTCTCACGGAACGTTTCTACGATCCGCTCAGTGGCTCTGTCATGCTTGACGGAACTGACTTGCGGGAGTTGAATATCAAATGGTTACGCTCTCAGATTGGTCTAGTCTCACAAGAGCCTGTACTTTTCGCGACAACTGTCAAGGGCAACGTCGCGCATGGTCTCATTGGCACATCATACGAGGATGCATCTGACGAGGAAAAGTTTCGGCTCATCAAGGTAGCTTGTATCAAGTCTAATGCAGATAGCTTTGTTAGCCAATTGCCACAAGGATATGACACTATGGTTGGTGAGCGAGGTTTTTTGTTATCAGGAGGGCAAAAACAGCGCATCGCCATTGCACGAGCTATCGTGTCAGATCCGCGGATTTTGCTCCTTGATGAAGCAACGAGCGCCCTCGATACTCGTTCGGAAGGGATTGTACAAGATGCTCTAGACAAGGCATCTACGGGTCGAACTACTGTCGCCATTGCCCATCGCCTGTCAACGATCAAAGATGCTGACTGCATAATTGTAATGGGCGAGGGGCTCGTACTGGAGCGAGGAACTCATGCAGAACTCCTAGCAGACGAAAATGGCGCGTACCATCGTCTTGTCACAGCTCAAACTCTCCGCGAGGGTCATGAAGATCCTGATACAGTGATATCAAGTGATGAGAAAGGTTCGGAGAAGCCTAGGTCAGATGACCTCGATGTCAAGAGCACCATTCGCTCCATCGATGTCGTCAATCAACCAAAGGAGAAAGTTGGGGACCAGACTGCAGAGGAAGACTATGGTCTATTCTATTTGATGAGACGAATTGGTGGTCTTCACCGCGAAGGACTTCACCGATACTTGATTGGATCTTTCTTTGCCATATGTATGTTCGCAGAACACATATCATCAGCTGCGCTCATACGTTTTCGCAGGCAGTGGTGCCGCTTATCCTGCCTCTGGTATAATCTATGGTAAGTCCTGTTATCACACAAAACAGATACCATTCATCCTGGCATGCGCCGGTAGGGCTCTCGATCTCCGGCTTTTCTGCCACCACAAATTCTGAGCGCCGCTACCAAGGCGATCGGAATGCTCTCTGGTTGAGTTCTCATGTTTTTCTAGAGATCGTGCTAGTGCTTATCTCGAGCCAGGTTTTTCATTCTTGCTATTCTATACGGCTGCTGTGTTGGTTTCCAGACCTATTTTTTTGCTTCCTCTGCTGCTGTTCTGACAGCCAAGCTCCGTTCAATGAGTTTCAAAGCCATCCTCCGACAAGACAGTGAGTGCCTTGATCACCAAGTTATTTTTCCCACTCATAAAACCAGTCGAGTACTTCGACAACGACAAGAATAGTGTGAGTTATAACTTCTCAGCTTGTGCAGAACCCTCATCAGACTCCGTAAGACTGGCGCTCTGACGTCAAGCTTGAGCGAAAACCCCCAGAAGATCAATGGTCTCGTTGGTGTAACTCTGGGAACGTGAGCATCACGAGTCCTCCTGAAGCAATGACATTACTGACTTTGGTTAGTATTGTCCAATCTATCACAACTATACTTGCTGGTTTGGCCATAGGCTTTGCATATGCTTGGAAGCTGGCTCTTGTCGGCATGGGTGCGCCCTGTTTTCCGGTTGCCCACCTTCCTCTTATAAATTTCGTTTTTGTTTAGCATGTCTCCCTGTCCTGGTGTCCGCTGGCTTCATACGCTTGGTACGTCACTTGTATAATAAACTCCCGTTGTGCTACACATCTTTTAGCAAGTCGTTGTTCTGAAAGATAAGAATAACAAGTCAGAGCATGAAAACTCTGCTCAGATTGCCTGCGAAGCTGCTGCGGCTATTCGCACTGTTGCATCATTGACCCGAGAAGAGCACTGCCTCAGTCTTTACAGACAGAGCTTGGAAGGGCCTCTTAGAAAATCCATCGGGACAGCGCTCTGGAGCAACATGCTGTTCGCACTCTCTCAGGGCATGGCATTCTGGGTAATTGCTCTAGTTTTCTGGTATGGCGCGACGCTCGTTTCGCAGCTGGAGATTTCAACGCAATCATTCTTTATTGCTTTGATGGTATGGTCATTTCGTCAACCTCCGGACATCCTTGAAGTGAACAAGACTTTGGCAGAGTACCGTATTTGGCGCAATGCAGGCCGGTAATGTCTTTGCTTTTGTGCCCGACATCTCATCAGCCAAAGGGGCCGCCAACGCAATCATCAGGCTTCTCGATTCAACTCCTACGATTGATGCAGAGTCAACTGAAGGCAAAAGTGTTCCGAGCCAACATATCAAAGGCCGCATACAGCTGGACAACGTTCATTTCAGTTATCCTACCCGTCCCGGATTCCGGGTTCTTCGTGGCATCTCGCTTATCGTCGAACCTGGAACTTATGTTGCCCTAGTCGGCTCTAGCGGTTGCGGTAAAAGCACAGTGCAAGTCTACCAATTGTACCACATTCGAATAGGCATCTGAAGGTCCATTTAGCATCCAGTTACTAGAGCGTTTCTACGATCCACTTTCTGGACAGATATCGCTTGATGGGGAGATCATCGGTGAATTTAACGTCCAGGCATATCGACAACAGTTTTCACTTGTATCGCAAGAGCCTGTGAATACACTCGTGATGTTAACCTTTTGGTGGAGAGAGCTGACTACTTGCCTTGCAGACCTTGTACGCGGGAACTATCCACTTCAATATCTTGCTCGGTGCCTCCAAACCAGAATCTGAGGTCACACAAGAAGAGATTGAGGCTGCCTGCCGTGATGCCAATATACTAGAGTTTATTCAATCACTTCCAGAGTAAGACCTCATTACTACGCAGACTCGAGGCTTACTGATATGATAACAATAGTGGGTTCGATACTCAAGTCGGTGGCAAGGGATCCCAGCTTTCGGGGGGTCAAAAACGTGTGCCTCATTCATTGACAGGTGCCATTCTTTGTGCGCTGAAATCACAATTTAGAACGTATAGCAATCGCTCGCGCACTGCTTCGGAACCCAAAGGTTCTTCTGCTCGACGAAGCCACATCAGCTCTCGATTCAAACTCAGAGAAGGTCGTGCAAGATGCTCTTGATAAAGCTGCTAAAGGTCGGACCACGATTGCTATCGCCCACCGCCTTTCGACTATCCAGAACGCTGATTGCATGTGAGTTGATCGAGAGCTGGCGCTCGTGAACACTTCCTCACTACTTTACAGACATTTCATCAAGGAAGGCAGAGTCAGCGAATCTGGGACCCACGATGAGCTTCTTGCGCAGAGAGGAGATTACTACGAGTTCGTACAGCTGCAAGCACTCAGCAAGAAGTAGCGGAAATTCAAGAACGTCTGATGTTCCACTTATTCATTAATTACAACTTTTGATATTGAGGCTGGAAATGGTGAACCCTAGACAAGGAAATAGCAAGGCAGAAAAGTGTTTATTGGTTACCATGCAATATATCTCATCTTGCTACGTCTACTAGATGTGCTGCTTCGTGCAACAGTATAATATACGAGCATCCATGGAACTTCACTTCAAAAGGCATGAATATCTCAAGGACTCCCCCCTGCTTGCTTTCCATGGTTCTATTTAGCTCCGATATTGTTGGTCCAGTGGACAGTAGATTCGCTGTGCTCCGTGCATTCCCATAAACCAATCCGTTCTGTAAGTACCATTTTATCGAAGCCTACATACCTATAACTCAGGTCGGCACGTGACAAACTACTTAATAAACAATTCATTTCAACATCCTTTCTGTGAGTCACTCGTGACGGTTTCCAGCTTCTCATTGGGATAGCGGAAATGAGTCATTAAAGAGAGCAGCAGAGGGACGGAACATCGACTCATATAGACATCATCGCGACTGAATATGTGCACGTACTTGAGTGGTCTCTTGCACATATCTCAAGATAGTTTTTCCCACGATCTAGCCCACTACAAGTACAGTACTTGCAATTTAGGGTTCCGGGAATTTGCACCAGGCAAATTAGCCCGGCAAATTTACCCTGCAAATTTACTGTCACTGAATGACAGTGTCAATTTCACACCCTCGAAAACATAGTGTCAATTTGGGTGAATTTGTGTCTACTGGACCCAGAACACCTGAAAAGCTTAAATATGACATCCTTGGTGATCAACGACCTGAGAAGCCAACAGTTGTTCCACCACCTGCCCGACCACCTATGAAACGAGATATTGCCATGAGCGACTCAGATGACGAGACCAGTGAGGGACAGTGGCCTGATGATGATGATGATGTGAGCCTCGATGGAGAAGACAGCGACAGGTTCGATGTTGGTGATCACATTAACTTAGCATCAGGATTCCTTCTCGATCTTCTCTCAGACCAGCCTGTGCAGCTTGAGCCGGCTCCCGTGAGTCACGGACCTCCATCCAAGCTGACAGCTGACGCTGTGACTTCGTCGACGACACCGATGGATGGCGAGTGGGAGATATGGGAGTCTGCGGAGTAGATTACAGTCAATTAGGTGAAATTCACCTGCAAATTAACGCAAATTAGCGTCAAAAAGCTAGAGCTTTCGGGGGCTCTGCCCCCGAACCCCCGTCAGTAAATTTGCGTGAATTTTGTGTCATTCACACCTGTAAATTTGGCCCTCTGCGAGGGCCATGCTAATTTGCCGGTCAACCAGACGCCGTACCCTAATTCCCGGAACCCTATTGCAATTGAGGCCTTTCTCTCCTTGATCATGATGCATGATGAACTGCTCCAAATTTTTTTTCGTACGCATGCACGATTCGGAATACAATGTTTGCGAGCAGGACGCACGCACTCAACGAAATTAATCAAACCGTGTGACCTCGACATGGTCATTGGGAAACTAATTATATAGATAACAATGGCCGATTGGGTTAGTCCGAACCGTGGTGTCGTCTCTAGTTCACTCCTTTAACCCAAGCTTCTACTCGAAGAATCGGGAATATGAACATGGATGTCACACAATTGGAACCATACATACTCAAAGGTCAGTAGCGCCGTAGTCAGGATCAGTAGATGAGCTCATGAATAAAATCCCAGGCTCGATCAAGGTTATCGACAGGTTCTTTTCTGTGCCCGTAGATTACGCCAAACCAGATGGTCCCCATATCCGAATATTTGTGCGCAACCTCATCCCTTTGGAATCTGGCATGGACCCTGCGGCAGAGTCGAATTTGCCTTATCGTGTGTCATTCCCCATTCTTTCCAGCATTGCATGCATGATGTTCACTCGTGAAAACCAGTCTTGTATTTGCAAGGTAATTCATCACGACTCAAACAGTTGCGATCAGAGCTTAACTTCTGCGTCGTGCAGGTGGTCCAGGATTCGGTGTCGACCTATCTTTCAGCGTAGACTTGGGGAGTGCTGTACGTTGATTTGTCTTCATACACAAGAATATTTGCGAGACTAAATATACTACTATGGACAAGCTTCACAAGAAAAAATATCAGGCAAGCAGTGTCACGAGTCCTTGCTCGTCCATGATTGCTATTTGACAATCGCAGACCCTTTGGCTCGATCCTCGTGGGACTGGTCTGAGCACGCCGATAACGGCGGACATCTTCCAAACGAAGCAAATGGACGACGAGGCGATTGCCAAGTATCTCAAACACTTTCGTGCAGATAACATTGGTATACATTTCCTCATAACCCCAAGCGTCACCAGTCTTCATCTGAAAGATAGTCAGAGACTGTGAGACCATTCGGCACTTTCTCCTCGATGGCAAGAAAGACCCTGAAGCACGTAAATGGACGATCTTTGGGCAAAGTTTCGGAGGCTTCTGTGCCGCCACCTACCTTTCATTCCACGGTGATGGCTTGAAGGAGGTCTTCCTCGCTGGCGGTATCCCACCACTGGTCGACTCTCCCGACGCAGTTTACGAAGCCCTCGTTTGTAAGTGCCTAGCCGTCTGCCCACATTTCAACTGACAGTTTGTTTAGTGAAGGTGGAAGAACGAAACAAGGTTTACTATTCAAAGTATCCCCAAGATGTAAGAAATGTAAGAAACTCGGACAAGTCTATATCTACCAGGTTGTTGATCAACTACAGGTTCGTCGGATCCTAGGTTTCCTAGAAGCCAACAACGTCGTTATTCCGAACGGCGGGAATCTGACGGTCTCACGATGGCAACAACTTGGCATACAATTCGGATCGCATGGTAGGTTTTGATTTACTGCGAAAATGTGGCTTTTCATTTTCTATACTTAGGCGGCATCGATCGGGTTCACCGTATGTAGTTTCGCTTCAACTTCGCCGACGAGAGCTCATTCATATGCGCAGAACTCGTGTTCCGAGCGATCACAGACTTGGACACGTTTGGGAAGCTTTCATATGGGCTTCTTGACAGCGTGCAGAACTCACAGAGCTTTGATACCAACCCAATTTACGCAGTGCTTCACGAGCCTATCTATTGCCAAGGGTGTGTTTCGGATAGATCCTTTCATCCGCGAGGCATATATGAACCGATCATTTCTGTCATAGGCAGATGGCAAGCTGGTCTGCACATCGCGTCATCCAGAAGAACGATAGGTTTGTTTGGGGGAAAGTAAAGCTCATGTCCGATGATGTCCCCATTTACTTCACGGGGGAGATGGTACGCACATGGTCATTCCAGCGTCTTTGAGATGCTGAGATTGAAACCATGCATCGACAGATATTCCCCGACATGTTTGAAGACTATCATCATCTACGTCCGTTGCGGGGCGCAGCCGAACTGCTGGCTTACGATGAAGATTGGCCTATGTTGTATGACAAAGAGGCCCTGAAAAAGAATCAAGTAAAAGTGAACGCTGCAACGTGAGTGGAGGTTGTAATTGTTGATGAATTGGACTTAATACCGACCCCATAGTTATTATGATGACATGTGAGCAACGTCCCTTTGACACTCTCGTTGTCTTCGATATGAACACCTTACAGGTATGTCGATTTTGGTCTTGTGCAACAGACAGCGTCTGTCATCGGCAACGTGGAACAACTCATCACCAATCAGAGTTTCCATGACGGTATACACAAGCACATGGACAGCATTCTAACGACCCTTTTTGACCTGTCTAAACGAGAGCGCGATTAGAACAATTTTGCCCGAAGCGGCGAGTAGCCTGTAAGGTGGTATTGATGTGATATTATCTTCGTTACAGGAGTGACGATATCTACAACCATTGTATTACAAGTGATGTAAATTTTTCTTTACTTGTACTAAATGGCAGTCCAGTAACCTGCGTCAGAAATCAATGTATGTCTTCAAAATCAGGTCATGAACGGAAATGTCGACTACCTGGCAGGCTCGAACACTTCATGCGTGTCATATGCAATGGCACCATCGATATTATCTTGTGCGTACATGCATTATACATTCCCCGTAAGATTTATGCTTTGGCTCAACATTTCGATCTCGATCTGATTGTCTGCTTTACACACAACGTTGCGACGCTTCTAGTATCTATTCCGAAAACAGGACGAACGACCACTTATTTTCATTTCTCTATGGTCTATCCTGCCAGGGTCAAGCTCTTCACAAACACTGGATTACGGCGCTGCATGCTAAGTGGAAGTGCATTTAATATACAGTCTTGAGGTCTGGAATTTCGAAGTCCTTAATGCGAACTCGTCAGATCATCTCACGAATACTTTGATTAACAATGTGGTGCGACGCACGTAATTGATTATATGGCAATATGCACGAACGCTACGCACTGTGCCAAGGGCTGGACTGCAGTGCTCCGGCAGCTCGTCTGGAATTTATTATGCCACCCCTGCACAAGTTTTTGTAGAATGCGCTGCACTTTGTTTCTATTATCAAAGTAGGTCTATTTTGAGCCCTGCCTCAAGGACAGATGGCCGAGCGGTCCAAGGCGCCAGACTAAGGAGACCAGCTCATTGGATGAGCTTATCATCTGGTCTCTTCGGGGGCGTGAGTTCGAATCTCACTCTGTTCAAATTTTTTTATGATTTCCCGGTTCATTTGATTGTCAGCGCCATGCTATGGGTATATCTCATAGTCGGGCCAGGGCGGAGTGTACCTTATAGTTTTGATTGACAGAACACTCCAGTGCTGTCCAGGAGAGTCGAGCAGCTATAGTATCAAAGACCTTTTTTCCCGTTCCCAACATCCTTGCATTGTGAGTGTGAACAATGCAACAAGAGTAGGGAAAGAGTTGATGGTGTCATTCCTCTACTGACTTTCTCCCTCGTTTCAGTCATCTCTTCATACTGAACACTCTACCGCACGGGCACATGGGTTATCTAGATAGGGCTCAGCCCTAATAGATAGGATTGGATTTAACAAGGACCTCCTATGGTACGGTTTGCGAACAGCCATATCAGCCCCACTC